ATTATTTCGTATAAATACATAGAATAAACAAATATGATGATCATAAAGAATAAATCGACAAGTAAAAAGTTTGACAATTAATATTAAATAGATAAGCCAAAGACAGAAACAATTGCATAAAGATGTTTATTTTCCCAACTAAATAAAAATCAAACAATAAATTAAATCAATAAAAAGAATTACAATAATTACCGAACTGTACAACTACCATCAGTTGTATTATCCCAATAGCATGAACTAGCTGTATGTAAACCAGCTCCATTTTTTTGCATGATTACCTATTTTAATATATTATATAAATATGAAAAAAAAAAGTAACAAATAAATAGATAACATACTGCTTGCACAATGTATTTAAATGGTTTACCCAATTTTGTAAGTTCAGTTAATACATGATCAACAATATCAGCTGTCCATCGATTAACTTTATTATGTTGATATGAATTTCCACCAATAATTCTTTCAATTGTATCTTTGATTATATTTGATACTTCATCAATAACAAATGATGAATCTTCTCCACTTATCACTTCCATTGATCTAAAACTTAGATAAAGATACACTCGAAAGAAAGAAAAAACAAAGCATAACAAAAACTACAAATATTCTTTATGTGTTTGAAAAGAATTTTCAGAAAAAACAGAGAAGAAAGAATTAAATGACAAGGTCATCCTTATCCTTTTGGCATAACTGTTTTCTTTTTCTCTTTTACCTACTTCTCTCCATAACTGTTATATTGACATAACAAAATAAGGAGACAGAAATCACAGAGAAAGAATGTATACGATAGTTTACCTTGAAGAAAGAAGAGTACACACGGAAAAAAAGAACTACATATGTTGCAATATGATACATCATTAAAAAAAAACATGAAGAAGAGAAAAAATAGAATTCATCATTATACATGAGTTTTGATTTAAATGAAGTCATGTAGAACTAAGCTAAAAAAAAAGAACTACGTATTTATGATTGTCGAAAGTAAGAAAGGGTTATAAAAAGAAAAATTCATCTGTTTGATCGAGAATCGAATATCTATGTGCATAGACTTAATAAAATGATTGAAAAGTATCAATATTTCTTTTTCTACTTCTCGTCGTAACTATTTTAATCCTTTTACCCTTTTTTTTTCGATATAAAAATTCGAACAATGAGCACTTGTGATTTAATAACAACAAAAAAAATGTTTAAATGAATATATATGACCGTTCGTCTTTCTTTTCTATTCTCAATCAATACTCCCTACAGTTGACCTCTTTTTTACCTCGTCAGTAACATCGGATCACGCGGTAATAAGACACAATCGTCTGTTACTGTTGTCCCATTGCTCAATGAGTTCTTTTCTTTCTTTTTCTTTTTTTTGTTCTGCTTTCTCTTTTCTCTTTCTTTTGTCACTCAACTTTTGCATATCTGCTTTTTCTCTCACATTCTCTGTTGAATGAACAAAAGAATCCCCTTTTTTCTTTTTACCTATTTGAAACTGTATTTTGAATGTTAATGTATCTGTTTATCATAATCAAGTAGAAAGAAAAAGAAGCTACATGACTAATCTTCTATCTGCCTCTCAATGATCAAAATAAAGATCATTCTTCTAAAAATATCTGTGAACATGAAGAACAAAATACTTATCAATTGAATTATGAATCATAATTGCAACAGACAAAAATTTACATAGAAAAGTAGAAAACATTACTTATCTTTCATATAACTGAAAAAAAAAGAAAAAACATTATCAAATGTTCACTTATTTTGTAAGCACGTGCACATAGAATAACAAAAATGATACAAGGAGTAAGTTCTTCGAACTTCTATTTGATTGGTAAAAGGAAAACATCAACGCTACAATCAACGTTAGACAAATATTTTTCGTGAAGGTTGCAGACAAGATAGTGAATTGTCCAATCGAAATCAATAATGATTACAATAAAAATAGAAATAGAATTTTCTTTTGCGTTTTAATTTTTTTGTTTTCCAGAAAATTTTCTTTGGAAAAAAAAATGTCATCAACAGAAAAAAAACCACGTTTAGTATCAGTTAATCCAATATTAACTGATAATGATTTAATCAAACGTTTTCGAGATGCTTATACAAGTCGATTACCAATTCATGAAAAAGGTTTGTATGCAAACAAATAAAATTTTAATAGTTTTTAAAAAATTTTTTCAAGTTATAACATTGGAACATGAACCATTTTCACATTGCGTTATCGATGATTTTGTTCTCGATCAAAATGTTGATCAATTTTGTAGTCGATTAATCAATGAATTAAGGAATATCAAAATGAATCAAAAAAATAATGATTTATATAAATTTCAACAGGTTAAAAAAAATGAAAATAAAAGTATTTTATAACAATTGAAATAATTTTTCTATTTTATGCAGTCCGATGATTTGGCCAACGTAACATTGCCTGCTATTGAACAGATCAAGTGGGTTTATTCGATATGCGGAATGATAGTATATTTTTATTCGAATCCAGGCAATTTGTCTATGTAGATTTCAAAGATTGGCTTGCACAAGCAACTAATATTCGTTTCAGTGATAAAATCGATATGACATGTTCAAAATATGACTACACAGGTAGATTTTGTAACTTGTTTTTTTTTATATTAATGATCGAAATTGTCGTTTGTTGTTTTCGTTGAAGATTATCTTTTATGTCATGATGATGATATACATGGAACAATTGAAGGTCGTCGTATTGCTTTTATTTATTATCTTGTACCTGATGATTGGAAAGAAACGGATGGCGGAGCACTAGATCTATTTGATACTGATGGTAAATATTATTGAGAATTGATTGAATTGTATTGTTTATTTGAAATTGTAGAAGAAAATCAACCGTGTTGTATTGTGAAATCATTATTACCGAAACGAAATCGATTAGCCTTCTTTGAGGTTACCGACAAATCTTATCATCAGGTAATTTTAATTGATTAAAATAGAAAAAATGAGAATTTCAAATTTTTACTTTAATCGTTGAATTTATCTATTTTTTCTCCGATTTTCATAGAGTCTTTAAAAACAAAAAAGAAATTCATTTTCAATAGTCAATTGTATATATAAAAAATTTTACTTTATTTGAATATTCCAGACAAGTATTTTATATCACTTTGACTTTATATCATTGAGTATAACACTTAAATAAGTTACAATGCTTGAGTCATGATAGTTATATGTTAATGTTCCAATTCTAGGACTTACCATGAGTCAGACTAGAAATATGCAGAGTAAGCTTTTTTCTCATCCTGACTGAGAGGAATTTACTAACCAGTATTCTACCTTATCATGCAGATCTCAAAGCTAGACCTATTATAGTCTTTTATGATATGATTTAGTCAAAGATACTTTTGATTGAATCTATTTTTAGAATAGAAATAATACTTGTTGTCTTTTACATAGCGGCTCACGTATTGAAATCTAAAGCCAAACAAATATTAAGACTGTCTTACTTTCAAGACTGTAGTAAAATCCAATATTTATCAAAGATCCTTGTTGTAGAGAACGTTCATATTTTTTTATGTACATTGAAACAATTAAAATAATTTAACTAAAATATTGACTCTAATTAATAATTCTACTATAGTATTTTAAAATATTATTTACCTTTTCTTTTATAACACAACTAGGTAGCCGAAGTATTGAATGAAAAACAAGGAGCTCGTTTATCTGTTAATGGTTGGCTTCATGGTCCTATCAATCCACGACCAGTACCTGTTTTTGAACCATTACCTGCCACGAAACTAGCAACGAAATTTCAACAGACTGATGTAAAATCTGAATTGTTATTTTTTTTTCTATCAGATAGATCTAAATTAAGCATATTTCAGTTAGATCGTGTGAATCAAACAATATCACCCACATATCTCAAAGTAGAAACTCAGTATGATGTTCAAATGGCATTTCAAGAAAATTCTGAAACAAAGTTATCTGAATTTTTTCAAGTAATCTTTCATAAAATTTAACATTCATTTATATATCGTTTGCTTTGTGCTCGTTTATTTTATAAAGAAAGATTATTTTCAAGCAATGGTCAATGAATTAAAAAGTGATACAATCAAATGGATACGACGTGGACCATATAATAAACGGTAATAAAAATGATTAAATAAATTTTAAAAGAAAAACAAAAGTTTGAATTAATTATTTAAAAGAAATTATGATATTGCTGATGTCACTAATTTACCATCAGCATTAAAAAATCTTATTGATCTTTTTGGTTCTGAACCAATGTTTACTATTCTTGGATCCCTTACGGGTTTAACATCAGAAAATGATGAAGATGAAAAAACGGAATATGAACCTTCACCTAAAAAAACAAAATCAAATCCTACTGGTAGGATATTTCATTTTGATTTATTCTAAACACAAATTCCTTTATTAAGCTGATGCTGCTTCGTCAACGAATTCTTTTTCAACTGTACCACGATGGTATTTTGAATTACGACGATGGAAACATACATATTATAGTTTATCATTTGACACGGATAATAATGAAGAAAATAATAGTCTTGACGACGACGATGATGATGATGAAGAAAAGGATGGAACACTTGATGTTATGATCTTCCTCAATTATCATTCAAGTATCTCTTTATATTAAAATTTTATCTATACAAAAAATTGATTTCTTTAGATGAAACTGATGAAACGGTTGGTGGTGGTGATGTTGTATACACTATTAAAAACGAAGATGAAACAGTATGATAAGAGTTTTTTTTATTCTTTTTAATTTACAATTAATTTTTTCTGATATTTTAGTTATTACGTGTTACACCTGACAATAATAGTCTCAATTTAATCTATCGTGAAGATGATAATGTACTAAAATTCAATAAATATATCAATCATCGACAAGCAAATAATGTTTTCTATGAATTTTGTGCATGTTATCTTGATTTAGATAAACTTAAAATAGATTAATAAAGAAAGAAAAAGAAATACAAGAATAAAATAAAACTACATAAGATCCATTCTTTTAGATTTCTTTTTTTTTTAATTTGATGGATAATAGTAAAAATAGTTATTTTACTGAAGATGAAAATGAACCTAAAGTATTATCGTTAAAAAGAGTTATAACAATTTCATCTGATGATGAAGATAAAGAAATAAATGAAACTAATAAACGTCAATGTTCATCTTCATTACCAAAATATAAACCATTACAAATAATGAATAAACAACGAATTATAGGTAATACTAGACAAACATCATTATCAATTATAAGAACTAGTAGTAATGATAATGGTAATGAAGAAAGACAATGGAATCTAAAAATGATTGCTTCATCATCAAATGAAAATTCATCAAAACAGCAAAAGAAAAAAATCACACAAACGGTAATTAAGAATTGTTTTGATAAACGAAATCAGTCAGAGTGAAACTCATAAATTCGTACTTTATATATTAAATATTTCGCTCAAATGAATTTAATAAATAATGCATGTTACTTTTCTTTTTTACTCCTAATTATAAATTAAGTAATAGTTGAATATTCCATTATTTAGATCGAGCGACGTTAGAATGATGTTTAAGTTTTCAATTTTTAACTCAAATTGTTTCGATTGGAATATCGTAAATTAAACATACTTAAAAACAATCATATACATACGCTTGGCTGTTCTTAAACAATAGACTAAATATAGAAAATCTATGCGCTGAATAATCTTTACTTTTCAATCACGTCATATTCAATTAGAACATGAAATCTAAAAGAACGAAAATTTACAGAATACTCCTCTATATATATAGGATACCTTCTTCCAAAAGATAGTTAAAAATCTGACAGATTTACATTGATGTCATAACAAATCTCAAATTGTTACTAACTTTTACTAAATCTCTAGTTACTGATCACTGATTTTTGACAAAAATTTAATCTAGAACAGCTAACAGGAGAGCAGTAATCAGTGTTTTACTTGTATGGATAAATTCAAAACTATGGCGAGAAAAGCGGATATTAGAGATAAAAAACAAGAAATATTATTTCGTCAATACTATATAGTATTTTTCTAGTTATGATGATAGTGACTATTTGTTCTACCCCAATGACGTTCTCCTGTGAGCAACTTCAGTCTTAGTATCGTCCTGTTTCACATTCATATCTTCCACTTCATTCTAATAATTTTAACTCAGATTTTTAAATTAGTACCCATTGAGATTTACCTCTCTTTGTTTACATTACATTAATTTAGTAAGAGATAAATTAATAATAATTTTGAATAAATAATAGAATGTGCTATTATGATACAATAAAGTTAACAAAATCTCTTCATACTTGAGCATGTTCATTGATACTAATAGAATTTTTTCATTTGCACTTAAGACATATCGTTTTCGTTACATAGATTTTTCGATTAATGTCTTGATATAGAATACCTTTTTTAAAAATTATATTTTAGAAATCTTTGACATTAGCTAAGTCAAAATCTTCAAGTACATTAGTTCGAACAGTCTCTTCGCCATCAAGTCTAAAAAAAGAAATAACAATTAATCAAACACGAACAGTATCTCTTGATGGAGTTGATATTAATGAAGACGAAGTTTTCTCTCAATGGAATGATGAATCGAACAGTTCTTTATCAGTTAATACAACTATTATAGAAACATCATCAACTATTGTCGATAGTAAATCAATATGGAAACAAATATTTAGTAAATCAATCAAATCGAAACCAATTAATGATGAATTAAAACAACAATGGTCTGAATTAGATAAAGATCAATCATCGAATCATCATCGATTTAATGCACCAGCAATTGCTATTAAAAGAACATGTCCATTTTACAAAAAAATACCTGGTAAAATCAACTCTCCTTTTTATCCTATGAGAAGACTGCGACTAATTAGAATAAATGGTGATCATCTCGAAAATATACATTGACTCCAAAAATTAATCGATCAGATTTATTTTCAATTTTTTTTCTGTTGCCATAAAGTAAATACTAAGAAGAATTCAAATAGTTATTTCACTAGAGAATTGTTAGCTCTATCATCCTAGGTAATTCAACAAGAATTATGATTGCAAATTCTAGAATTTGAAAAGTACTGGTTCTGGTTTTTCTGAAACCCTATCGTTGAAAAACTAGAAATCATTTTTATAGTCAAAAATTCTTATTGGAAATGAAATTCTCTACTCATATTATTATATTGATTCTTCTTAATGTTTACGACAGCAGAAAAAAAAATTGAAACTAAACCTGATCGAATAATTTTAGAAGTCATTATGAATTTTCGTACAAAATAAAAAAAAGAACAAAATATTATTCTCCGTAAAGTCATTATAAATGTGGAAATGATAGAAATACTTGTACACGATATACAAATTATAATCAAATATTTTTAGGTACAACATTTTGTATTGATGCATTCAATTTTGGTAATATCGATGGAATACAAGCTTATTTTCTTTCACATTTTCATTCGGATCATTATGGTGGATTAAATAGAAAGTTTTCTAATATGCTTTATTCAAATCAAGTTTGTTAATTAGATATTTTATCTTATCATCTGCTTTGTTTTTCTTTTCATAGATTACTTGCAATTTATGTACAAGTCAGTTAGGTATTCGATCAGAAAATATGACTATTCTTCCTATGGATGTATTTACAAATGTTCATGGTATTGATGTAGCTCTTTTAGATGCTAATCAGTAAATAAATAAATATATATATATAAAGTAAAATTCATTCGTTGCATTTCATTTTATTTTATTTTAGTTGTCCCGGTTCAAATATGTTTTTATTTCGATATCCAAATGGTAGATTAATTTTGCATACAGGAGATTTCCGAGCAGCACCAAATCTTTTAAAACATCCATTACTTCAACCTAATCAAATAGATACAATTTATCTTGATACAACGTATATCAATTTTTTTATTTGTTTGTTTGTTTTTTTTCTCTATATTGCTATACAATTTAGTTATTGTGATTCTCATTATCGTTTTCCATCACAAGATGAAGTCATTAAAAGTGCTGTTGAATTAGTATTAGATTCATTAAGAGAAAATTCAAGAACATTGATCACTATTGGAACGTATCTTATTGGTAAAGAACGAATATTTCACGGTAAATCACAAGCACATATTTTTTTATCAATTCGATGAAAATATTTTCATTTTTATTTAGCTATTGCAAAAGCACTTGATTGCAAAATATTTGTTGAAACAAGAAAATTTCGTATACTTAATCAGTTAGAAAACACTGATCTATCAAAACGTTTAACAACAAATCCCGATGAAACCAATGTTCATATTGTTGGTATGGGTTCAATTACTCAACCAGTAAGATTTGAATAAATAAAAGAAAATATTTGTTTTTATTGTTAATAAAAGATGTTACAAACACATCTGGATAAATATTCATTAAAATACAATAAAATAATTGGAATAAAACCAACAGGTTGGACAACTCCTCGATCAACACATGGATCAAAACATTATTCAATTGAATCGAAATCATCAAATATTACTATTTATGGTTTGGCTTTTTTTCTATTTTTAAATAATGCATTATTTTTATTATAAAAATTCTTAGGTTTTCCCTATAGTGAACATAGTTCTTTTGATGAATTAAAAAATTTTATTCAATATCTCAAACCAAAAAAAATAATTCCAACGTATGTAAAAAATAAAATCAAAGTTAATATTTATTAATTTATTTTCGATTTCATAGAGTTAATGTCGGACGTGCAAATGTACGAGAAAAAATGAATGGATATTTTCAACAATGGCTTTCAGTTTAGCATATCTTTTTTGTTTCATAACTTATATTTTTTTTTTATTGTATAATCAAAAAACATATCAGATATAAATTAACGAATAAATAATGTTGTCTATTTCTCTTTTTTTTCCTCAGATGCCTATTGTCATTATTGGAGGTGTAACAGCTGTTGGTAAAACATCTACAGCTAAAAAGCTAAAGAATTTATATGGCTGGGATTATGTCGAAGCAGATGAATATCATTCTAAAACAAATATTGATAAAATGATAGCCGGTATAGCATTGACAGATGAAGATCGTCTTCCTTGGTTACAAATTCTTCATGAACAATTAAAAAAATATTTATCAACAAATCGAACTTGTGTTATGACATGTTCAGCTTTAAAAAGATCCTATCGACATATATTATTAACGGGTTCATCAGATCCTAATGTTAAAGCAGAAATGCCAAAAGAAGATTTTTATATTATTATGTTAACATTATCAAGAAAAGCATTACATGATCGTTTGGTTCGACGACAACATGAACATTTTATGAATCCTATATTATTAGATTCACAATTTGCAACACTAGAGTTACCTATAAATCAGGAAGATGAACCTTATACATATATTATTAATTGTGATGATCTTTCACAAGATGAAATTGTTTGTCAAATTCAACTGCTGCTTAAAAAATAAATATATTCTTTTTTTTTTTGTTCCATTTTTCATAGATATACTTAATGATGTATTTTGTTTTTTGATAACTTCTATGCTTGCTACTTATAATTGATCTGTTGCAAAATAAATAAAAGTTTTTATCATTTTACCTATATTCCTCTATTTTTTGCAAATAATGAAGATTCTTATGAAAAGAGTCACATATTTTAGACAAAAACTCTCGTGTATTGATGTAAACATTATCATCAGTATCTATAACACGATCCACAGATATTGGAGACTCTTGATGTGTACTAATAGTTTTTAGTTTTTGTCGAACTGCTAAATAACGTGTGATGTAAGTGAGTTTTTTATTTTTTAAATGTTCTCGTGGAAGATGATACACAACAGGTAGATATTAGAAGCCAGATAACAACAAAGTTTTCAGTATTTTTGATAAAAAATTCTTTGGGAAAAGATTTTTTAATAGAAAGATAGAAAGTAATTACTCATTTTTTTGTAGGGCGTTTAACAGACTATCACATGACAGAGTTATTATTCAACTTTGTAGGACGTCAAGCTACTAGCAAAATTAGCGATGAAGCAAAGAAAAGTTTTCTTCGGACTGCCTCTTGTTCTTTCATCTAGGAACTTTCGGATACCTGAATAATATCTGTCCTTTGCCATAGATAGTGACGGATATCTAAGTATTACTTCTCCTTCTTCCTGACCCAAACATTCCTCAATTTAAAATTAGCTGTCCTTTGGTCTTTTCTCACACTCACTGTAATATAGTACTATTAACATTTTTCATCATCTACATCTATTAACAGTTGATGGAGGTTCATGAACCGGAACATATATTAATGAATTTCCTCTTTTACCATGTGAACAGCTCCATTGTTCTTCATATTTTAATCCCACCAAGATTTCATTGACAGTTTTTTATACTTGTACATATTTTGATTATATACTTTGACATGTGTCAAATTCAATAGAATAAGTAATGCGAAGACTTACAGTTTTTGTGGTAAAAACCACAAAAAGTTTTCGTTTAAATCTTTATTCAGTTTGGTTTTACTTATGATTATATGAACACGTATGTGTCGAATAGTTGGAAAATTAATTGAAAACAAGATTTTTTTCGTTTCTTCAGAAGAAACAGGTGTGGAAAGCTGCTTTTCATAATTTGAAGACTTTTTTTATTTAGTTCATCTAATAGCATACAGGAAATAAATAGCGTACGATTCGAAAAGTTATTGCACAGTTTATCAGATCTCTAAGGACAATTTCTTCGTTGGAAACAGTGGCTTATATAGTTATAGAAATTTTACATACTCATAAATGGACACTAAGAAGTCAAGTCATTGTCATTGTTCATACATTTTCGTACTAGAAGTTTATAATGGATTGTTTCATTGGCTTTAAATAAATGGTAATGTTGAGTAATTTCAGTAGACTGACCGAGGCATGTCACACTTATGATACCTTACGTGCTTATATATCAGTCTTTTTTCTCAATACCTGTTCATTTTATGATTAAATGAAATACGAGACGTCCAACAAAGAGAAACTAGATAACAATCTTGATGAATTTCACTATTTATTTCGTGTTTTATTTGCAACTAATCAATAAACAATTGGATTTCTGCTTTATTCTAATGAGAGATCGTTTTCAATAGATCAATCGTTTTCTTACCAAAATCTACTTGATTATGAATTATCAACTATGCTGATTCAGAATATGACCATAATGAATCCCATTAGATGTTTTAAGACTGGTTTCCTAGAAAACCAGTTTTCCAGAATGAAAAATCTTTTTGCCAAGATTGTTTTTGATTTGTTCAGATTATACATGACATAGAATTGAATATCAGTCACTAAAATAATATTATTTTCAAGCTTTCTAGATCTAAATGTTGATATGTATCGAGTGCACACTTGAAGCTGAATGGACCGGTCTACCAGTTACCAATCCAATCTTGTTGAACTCTTAAAACTGGCTCATGTTCACCAATTCTTTACCAGTGTCTTTTATTAATTTTTCGGAGCATAAAAGCTGGCCTATTTTGCTAGTTTTTAACGATTTCAATGGTTGTAATAATCAAGTAACATGAGCCTAAAAGTTTCCCATTGGCAAATTTTCAGTCGTTGACAAAGTCCCAGCTCCATATTTTGCGGTAACACTTTCTCATCATATGATGAGAGCCTTGATTCATGCTAAATACATTTTTAAGAGTTATGTGAGTTTTACATTGTATGTCGACGTATAACTGAAGTAATAAATTGCTTCTCAAAAGAACTAATTGCTTAAATTGATACATTGAGCACACCGACTTTGCGTCGGTTAAGTCAACAATCTCAACCGATCGTTTGCAGGTAGGACCAATTTGGTCAAAAAAACTTCTACCTATTTCAAATATGCTCCTATCCAGGCTCAGATCCAGACCGTGATATGCATCCGGAAAACCTCTAGAAATCATCATAGACGATGACATATTGTCTACTTCTGTCTAAAGGGCACAGATAGACATCATTTTTTCTTTATATACTTCAAAATTCGCCACCATTCCTGTTTCAGAAGATCCATAATGCAATGATTAAACTATGTTAGGATGAGTGATTGGATCAGTAGCGACTTACGGGTAGAAAGATTTGGAACTTTATGTACTCTTCATCCAAACTTCATCCATTCTCCTTCGCTCACAAAGGATGTGAGGATTAGTAAGGTTTGCCTCGTCTCCTATACGTGCACGCTCACAGAAATGGATTTATTTATAGTAGAGTCATATGGGTACCACGTTCTATGATACCTTCAAATAACATCGACATTTCTGTCATCACTTATGACAAGATCAAAAGAACGTCATCTTTTTTATAACGGTGTCTGTAGAACAGACTAGATGGAGACATCTGTTTCACTTTTCTGGCTATATACTTCAACATATAAACAATTGTGTCTCTTACCTATGCTGTCCTTGATAGAAAATTTAATATTTGATTCAGATTGATCAAATTCAGACTTCGAATATCAGTAGATTCAACGTAAAAAATCAGGTGAGGCACTTGAAGACTTTCTTTGAAGCTAGAGAAGCATGTAGCGGTTTCTTCGTGAACAACAATGACAGATCGATTCTGTTAAGTATTTGTTTCTGTGTTGTATCAGCTTGATAGCGTAAATATTTTCTTACAAATCATAACAAATGAAGAAGGAAGATAATCATAAAAATGTTGGGAATAATAATTGCTCGAACTTCAAACCGAAAACCGAAGCAATCGAAAAAATTGATTGGTTGTTTGTCGAAGCTGCATAATCCAATAATTGTGCTCCCATATTTTATCTTCATTTTTTCTAACCAGAGCAAACAAATTTTATAATTGAATAAACTAATGTATGAACAGATTAATTGCAAATCTATGAAACATGTAATATTTTCATTCCTATTAAGATGAATGCGAGAAAGTCCATCTACTTGTTTTGGGAATAAATTTTTGTTTTTAGATATATTAAATGTTTTATTTCTTAGTTCCACTATTATTCTTTTTTATGGTCCAGCAATGATGTATGAAGATTGTGATGCTATTAATTTAAGTAAGATTCGCATCTAAATATTATTGTTAAAAGATGTTTTATCATTTAACAATGCATCGTTCATTTGGTTGACTAGCTATTCATGATTTGAATTCCATACTAAATAATAATGCGAAGTTAGAGTTTATCAGATCCTGTCGTGTCTAATGTGGTGTATCGACTATCATTAACCGTACAAACTCAAGGTAAGAGTTACTATTGACGTGATACCATTGTAAATATGGTATGTATTTTTAGATAAATGGAAACAGGACGGGTGTGTTTGGAAAAAAGATAAACCAATCCCATATCCTCGACAAAAACCTGGTTTTACAAAAAGAAAATATTATTTCTGTATCAATGAAGATAAAAAAAGGCTCTCGTTGTGTAAACCATGTTTGCATATCAAAGAAAAACTATTGAAATGTTATAGTATGCTATATCAGTCAGCAGTCTCATTGAATTTCAAGTTCGAAAATTTCTCTAAGGGTGGGTGTTGGTATGGGTGCCTCTCTTGTCTTTACACTCACACCTGCATCCACGCCCACACCCAACCCTACAGATGATAGTATTTCAACACTTATTATAATCCATTATTTATGATTATAAAATAGATTTTTACTTTCATATGTAAGTTTTCTTCAAAACAAACTAGCAATTATTGCATTGAACCTTCTCTATTTGCAGACTCTATTCTAAATGAATCAATAAACAAAATAAATCAAGTCAATCATGTTGATTGTGGTACAGGTTGTCATATTGTTATTGCTATTATTATCCGTTATTTGTTACTCAGCATGCAAATTAAATTTCATGTGTAAGTATTCAATAAAAATCACCTATTGAATATTGCATTGTAACTTCTCATTTTACACATTCAGTCATTATTAAAACCACGAATGTAAAAAATGCTATTATCCATTCAGAAAAGCGTACAAGTCGTGGAATGCTTGATCTTGATTTTTATGGTCTATACATTAATACAAATCCATCGTTAACCTTACATCTAACTATACATTATCGATAAACCATGAGACACTTCGATATAGATATTTTCTACCTTTAGACATTGAATTTTTATTACCAAAAAACAATCATTCGAATCAACAGACTCATGCTGATACTGCTATGCACAGTTGTGATGCGTGTTACAATTCAGCTCATCGTTGAACTAATTTACAGTTACATAATGCTCATAGTCTATGAGTTGAATTGATGGGAGCCTGCTATTTGCGATGAACTTTATAACATGAACTGAGGTCAACGAGTAAAATATGGATGCGTAAGTGAGCTCCAAATTTGGAGTTTACGCACTTTGGAGCCCACTTTTTTGACCTTACAAGAAATAACTGTTAGACCAAATATGACTGTTAATGGAACAAATAGATTTACAATTGTTTATGAAGCTGTTGTTGAATCAAAGCCTGATGGTATGTATTAGAATGAAAACAAGAGAATTTTGTTTTTA